GAAGTGAGGATAAAAATACTGTCCACCTCATAGTTGTGAAGATTTTATTTGAATTAAAAATGTACAGAGCTTCGCACAGCCGAGTAAGCTCCCAGTGAGTGACAGCTTTTGCCAACAATACTATGGTTATCTTGACATATTTTGAAATTGGTCTCCTCTCCCCAAAACTGGAGGCCATAACAGCCTCCTCCAGGCCCCTGTGGATGCAAACATGGGCGGAAGGTCCCGGGGAGGGGAAGCAGGAGGTGAATTTGGCCTTGCTTGACTGTATGTGCTGTCTGGCCTGGACACACACGAGCCCTGGGCACATACTGGGATTCCAGCAGTGCCAACTAGAACATCCTGGAGACTCCGTCCCTGTTCTGATCCTCCCCAGAAGAATACCCAGTTCATGGAGCCTGGATCCCGGCCTTAGGAGCTATCCAGGGCTCCTTCTCAGGTGAGAACTGCTGGTTCCACCAGACCAGAACGAGTGGGAACTGGGGCTCTTCCTTCTGGACTAGACAGACAGACAGGCAGACAGATCTCTGCAGGGTCAACTCTGCTGTGCAGTCTGTCACCTGCAGGGCCGGCCCGCAGTGGTCTGTAGGGCAGTGTTCTCATGGGAAGGGCTGTTAGCAACTCAAACTGCAGGGGGAGAGGTGAGGGTTGGAAGCAGCAAAGTGAGTGACGGGAGCAGAAAGGCCTGGCATGAGGTACAGGTGAGGGGCAAGGCCCGAGGAGCCCCATCCTGGCCTTTCACCACATCCTGCCTTTTTACTTCATGTGCTGCCTCCTTCTGACCCATCCCATGCCACCCTCACCCACAGTCACCATCCCTTGAATCCCCACCTAATCTCTCCACTGCAGGTCCCTTCACCCCACCCAGGGTCCCCTTCATCACACCCAGTGTCCCTTCTCCTATCCCAGCCCTTCCCTGAGGCTCCTTCACTGTCGCCCCATCCAGTCCACTTCGTTGCATCCAATGGTACTACGACCCCCACCCCACTCCTCTACCATCCCACCCAGGGTCCCTCCAGGCAGCCCCAGTCCTCTGCCAAAGTCCCAGGACTCTGTCTCCAGCCGAGCTCCCTTTTCTGGGTCCCCCTCACCCCCTTCCGTCATCATGTTCCTCAGTCAGCCGCCTGGGAGCTGAATCAGAGCCATAGAGCTAACATTTTGCACACACGTCTCTCCAGATGACAGGCAAGATGGGCCTTCTGCCCTCAGCCCACACACACCCGTGCTCAGGAAGCACAGAGAGCCAGGGCTGCACCCCACATCGGGTGGGGAAGAGGGATGGGAGGGCCCTTCCCCTCTGGGTAACTGACCTGGCCCTGGCCCCTCGGGCCTTTGCTCAAAGCTGGGACTCACCTTTTAGGGAGCAGAAAAAATACCATGCGAGATGGAGAAAGACAGGGATCAGTAGACAGAGGAAGCATGAGAGGAGGGAGGGGATGGGAAAAATAGGGAAGGAGAGGCAGGGTTAGAGACTGGACAGAGACAGGAACACAGAGAGACAGAAATAAGGAGAGAGAAAGGGAGAGGGGCTGAGGAGGGAGCACAAAGAAAAGGAAGCAGAGATGAACAAAAGGAAGGCAAGCCACTGTGGGGGCGGGAGGGGGGGGAGAAGGAAAGGGACCCTGAGAGGGACAGGAGCTGTCATGGGAAGAAGCTGCCAGGAGCCTGAGCAAACCCTAAGGGGGGCCCTCAGAGATGTTCAAGGAAAACAGAACCCAGCCTTCTGCAGAAGGATCCAGGGCTGCACCCCAAGGGGGAGAGCAGAGGCTGTTCCCAGGGCTCCCAGGACCAGCGGGGAGCTGCTGGTAGGTGAGCCCCAAGAGACAGGACCTTGCCCCCCTGACCTGCAGGGCCTGGCCGGGCCTCCTCTGGGAAGGCTTGGGCTGATCCTATGGGAGGCCTCCTGCCCCAGCCCACCCAAGGCTCTTGTGCTGCTGGCCTCACTTCTGCCCGGTCACAATCACAATCACAATAGCCACCACTTATTTGAGCACCTACTATGTGCCAGGTGCTTATCTCCATGATCTCTCCCAATCGTTTCACACAAAATGCTTGCAAGGCCAACATCATTGTTACCCCCATTTTGCAGACAAGGAAACTGAGACTCAGAAACATGAAGGGCCTTGTCTAGATCTAACTCCACGACACCATCTCTGAGCCTCTGCTTCTCCAGCAGTAGCGTGAAGTTCCATCTCTGCTCTAACATTTTGTGAGTCTGCAGTTTTCCCAGCACACACACGTGGGCGGATGCCAGGAGACACACACACACACACACAGGTGTCCCCAGAGGGGACTTGGTCTCTGTCCTTCATCTGTCCCTTGGCTTCCCCACCCTCAGCCCCAGCATCGCCTGCTTCTCCTCCACAGTATCTCAGATCACCTCCTTCTAGCTCAGCAGCTAAGCATGAGGATGACGTCATTCCTTTTATTTAAAGAAAAGGGCTGAGCTGGGGCTTCAGGATGGGGGTTCACGTGGGAGCAGGAGCCAAGTGACTGGCCACCCTGCTCCTGGCCCAGCCTCTTTTGTCCCCCCAACTGCCATCTGCTGAGTTGCTTCATGACCCCTGCCCCATCCCCTGAGAAGCCTCCATGAGAGGGCCCTGCTCAGCGTGGGAGCAGTGTGGAAGAGGCCAGTGGGGGAAGGAAAGAAGGTACTAGATGTCTGCGAGGATAGTGTATTTGTTAAGGGCTCTTTGGAGTCAAGGAACATGCTGTTAAAACCGTGCTGCAGGGGAAACTGAGGCTGCAGGACATTAGGTAAGTCATCCAAGGTGGATATCTATGTATGGCATCTGGGAGGCGGGTAGTGGGGTGGAGGAGTGAGCAGAGAACTTACTCTGAGTTGCTAGGTCTAAGTTCTTCCTCTTTCATCCTCTAATGGTCGACTCTAATTGCCTGTTTCGCTCTGGAACACCTGAGAAGGCGCATCAGTGAGGCAAGAGCCGCTGGCCCAGGACGGGGATCTGCTCAGCTTCCCCAGGCTCCTGATTCGCCCCCAGGGCCTGTCCTCCCAACCATGCAGGACCTCTTAGCAATATCTCTAACCCTTTCAGGCCTCAGCCTCACTCCTTGCTGGGAGGCCTCTTCTTTGAGAAGTGTGGTGCATTTATTACATCATTTAAATCTAGCAAATCACTGAGGTTGGTATGACTATTACCATCCCCATTTTACAGCCAAAGCCACTGAGGCTTAGAAAGCGTGAGCAGCCCGCCCAAGTCACACAGCTGGTAAGTGGCAGAACCAGGGCGCAAGTCCAGGTTTGTCATGTTCCGAAGCCACTGTTGTCTGCTTCTCACTATTCTGCAGGACCGTCCCTCAGCGCCCTAAGACCCCACAGCTTTCCCTGCACCCCCCAACCCTCTAACAAGGCTGAGGAGCCTAAGAGGAGTCCACAAGTCCCTCTTCTCTGCAACCCTGTGCAGCAAGAGGCTCCAGCCCAGGTGATTGGGACCACCATCTGTTGTTCCCCCATCGGTTCCCAGAGTCCCTACCGAGCAGCTTCAGCAAGTCCCTGCCAGAAGCAGGCAGAGATGCTTGTTCTGTATTTTATTTAGCCACTAATTGCTGCATTTAAAAGGCATCACAGTGCCACAGTTGTCCTCTCTTTCATGCCCTGATGCGTGTCTCTGCATGAAGAGACACTGGGGCAGAGGAACGAGTGAGAGAGGGGCCATGGTCTCCCCAATAACAGCTTTAAAAGCCTGACCCCAACGCTGAGTGCCAGCGGATGTCAGGTTGTCACCCTGAGAAGCGAGAGGGGGCAGGCAGGGGCTGGGGACTCTGCAGAAAGGAGGAGAGAGGTCAGGACCCTGGCGAGGGCCAGGAAGGAGTGGGAGGGGGCACCCCACGTCCCTACTCACCCCTAGGATGAGGGCCAGCTGATGGAGCCCTACCCAGAATGCCTCCGGTCCAACTCAATTCTTGAGGCTGGAGGACTCCGCAGTAAAGCAGCCGCCTGGGAGAGGACCCAGCTCAGGCCTCAGGCACGTCTGCTGTGATCAGGAAGGAGGAGGCGACATGCAGGCCTTGCCTTTGCCCAAGAGCAAGAGATGGAAGTTGAAGGAGATGAGGTAAGGGTGGGAGGTGAAGCTAGGTGGATGAGACAGGTGGCTGATGGCAGGTAACTTCTGAGAGAGCCCCGGTTGTCCCACTTTGGGTTTCCTACCTGCTCAGAATGTGCGCACCCTGGCAGGCGAAGAGAAAACTTGTTTCCCACCGTTTTCCAATCACTTCCAGGTCTAATTCTGAGCCAAATATCATCTCACTCTGACCCCAACCCTCACACCAACAGCAAACTACCCTTCAGCCCTAAGGACCCTCACCTCATCTCCAACCCTCATCCCAACTACAACTTCATCCCCAATCCAGTCCCTGATACCAAAATCCACCCTAAATTCTCACCCTAGTAGCAATAATAATCCTAATCCCATTTCCAGCTCCAACCTCAACCTATCTCTAATCTCACCCTGCCCCTAGCTCTTCCCTGCTCCCACCCCCATCCTCACTCCAGTATCCATCTCAGGTGGAGATCCACCCCACTTCCTTTCTAGTCCCTGTTGTTCACCTGACCCAGCCCTTTCTCCAACCCATGTTGACCTAACTGTAACTGGTGCCAGTCCCACACCCTGGCACTCCACCTGACCCCTGGCTTGGTCCCATGGCACCCGGACAAAGCTGAATGTGGGTTAGAGAGCTCCCACCCTGAGCAAGCCACCAAGCCATGGGAACTGTCGGGTGCTGCCTCCCATTTCTCAGAGCGCTTGAGGTCCCAGCTCTGAGTGTAGGAGTCTGGGCCCCTCCTGCGCCTGACCCGATGACACCAGGACATGGGCAGGGCTGTGACAGAAGCTATGCTTCTCCTGAGGAATGGCGAGAAATTAGTACTCTGCGGAGCAGTCCTGCCACTGCCACTCCTTGCACCTCGCTGGGTCATTTCTACACAGCCACGGGCTGAGCCTAATGGGCAGCCTGCTTCCGGGCCGGTGGATAATCAGGGAGAAGAGCCCCCGGGGTCTCCCACAGACGGAGGGGTTCTGTGCTCTGCGCTATGCTAGAAGGATGACATTTACATCCGTCAGGAGAGAAGGGCACTCAAAAGCTTGGAATCCTGCAGCCGCCGGGAGAGAATGAGCCAGTCAGAGCGCTCTGCTGAGCCCTAGGAAGCAGGAAACTTCCTCTCTGGGGATGGGCATAGAAGTCATCCCTGTGAGTGGCTTGAGTGCCAGGGAGCCACCGTGTGAGCTCAGCAAATGCCGAGTGATTAAGCCTCCAATGTGCAAAGCCTTCCAAGCAGCCCCCCAAGAACAGCTCTGTGTACCCGTGCCCTGTTCCCGGGGCCCACCACCCTCCACCCGTGAGCCACCCGGTGACAAACGCCAGCCGTCGCCACCGCATGGGCTGGCACCCCACCCAGCCCTCTGTCATCACTCGACCCTCTTCCTGGGGTCTGTCTGTCTGTCTGCTCAGATGGGAGCTGGCTGGCAGGGCCGGCTGCCAACTCTGCATTTCCTGCCGGGTCCAGTGCACAGTGGTTGCTCACCAAACACAAACTGAACGTTTGGTCTGAACTTTCTCCAGCTTCGTTTCCCAGCAACTTCCACTTCCTGGGAGGTGGGATGCTGACTTCTGCTACATCCTGCAGGGGAGGCAAGATGGCCTAGTGGTTAAGAGCTCCTGCTTTAGGATCAAACAGACGAGCTGGGCACTAACCGCACTGCCAGCCCCACCATTTGCTAGCTGTGTGACCTTGAACAAGGTGTCCTCACTACTCTGAACCTCGGTTTTCTAAAATGAATATAATTATGGTACCGGTCTCACAGAGTTGCTTTCAGAATTCAATGAGGTAGCCCATGTAAATATGTGTGTGTATAAAGTGTTGAGCACAGTGGCTGACACACAGTAGGACCTCCGTAAACACTAGCTATGCTAATGATATGGCTTCAGACACTGGTGGCCTAACTTCAAGACAGGGTCCCAAGAAAGGAGGCCTCAAACTTGACATGTTTACAGTTTGTCTGAAGCACCCACTCCCCTTTCTCTTCCTCCCACCAGCCATTCTCCCTTCTTTCTCCCCCAGCCTGGGCCAGGGAATCCGATTATTCATTCATTCATTCACCCATTCACATCTTCATCTAACCAATATTTATAGACTGACTGCTCGGGGTCAGGCCCTGGTTGTGGGCTGGGAGATATGTGAACAGGTGGAGGTCCCCCATCCTCACAGAGCTCATGGCCTAGCGTGGAGGGGCCGGGTACTTGTCAGCGCTAGAGTGGAGGGCACACAGGAGGACCCCCTGGTCTCAGGGAAGGCTTCCAGTAGGCGAGATTGTCTAAACTAATGTCTGCAGGTCAGGTAGGAGTTAGTTGGGAAAGAGTCTGAGTAATAGCATTCCAGGCAGAGGGGACAGCCCAGGCAAAGGCCTGGGTCAGAGAGAACATGCAGGTTTAGGGCTTCGAGAGTGTCCAGAGTGGAAGTGGAGCCGCTGGCGACAACGTATCACACAGGCTGGAGTCTGTGCTCCGACCTCAGAGCTCGTCCTTAGAGGATCGGACTTCGCTGTCACTTCCCCTCTCTCTGCACACAGCCTCTGTCTCAACAAGGAGGCCTGACCTGAGCCCCAGCCTGGTGGTGTTGGGGGTGGGGGAGTTAGGGTGAGACCCCGGAGAAGAGTTCACGCTCCGGGAGCCTGGGAGGGGCAGAAACCAGGAGGAGTATCTCCTTAGCTGGAGAGAACATCTACAAGAGCCGGCACGCCAAAGGCATTACCTCCATTTTCTTGCTCAGTCTTCCTAACAACATTATGAGAAGATACCCTTATTAGTTCCATTTTACAAGTGAGGAAACTGAGGCACTGAAAGTTTCAGTAGCACACCCAAGATTTCTCATCTACAGAATGTGGCTCTTGTGTCAGTCCCCAGAGCCTGTGTTCATAACCACCAGGCCACCCTGGACGTGGGACAGTGCTGGGGGAGAGGACCAAGGACGGGAAGGCAGGAAAGGGAATGGAGCTTCTTGGCGGTGACCCCTTGGCCTCTCCACCAGCCAGTCTTCCAGACACAGACCCCGGGAGCAAGCGCCTGCCAGTCCCCTGAAGAGACAAAGCCCCCCATTCAGGGCTCTGATGATCTCCGCTCCCAGCTGCTCAGCTCCTTGCAAAGCATTTTCCCTTAATAGCCTTCCATTCAGCAGGACGGCTGCAGCCCACATCTGCGGAAACCAGGCCATGGCAACTCCTCCTATCAGGCCCGCAAGGCTGCCCCGGCCATGGTCACCAGGTCCCAAGCTTCTCCCTCTCCTCCAAGTCAGGGACCTTTCAACCCTCTTCCACTCCATCTGCTGTTTCCAGGACTCTGCATAGAGTCGGGGGACAGAGTTGAGGTTCTTTCCCTCAGGCCAGCCTGACCTTAACTTTTCTCTGCAAAATGTGTCTGAAAGTAGGAATGGAGAGCAGGAGGAAGAGAAGAGTTCCTGGGTTCTAAGCCCTCCTCTGCCTTCAACTTGCTGTGTGAGGTTGGGAAAGTCCTTTCACCTCTCTGGGCCTCCTGTTTCCTCAACTGTAGAATGAGAAGGTGGTCCAGATGTGGATTCAGACCGCCCAGGTTCGAATCCTGGATCCACCACTAACAAACTATGACCTTTGACATACCTCTCTGAACCTCAGTTTCCTCCTCTGTATAAATGGGTTGGCCTGCCTCAACAGCAATTGAGAGGATTAAAAGAGATAATCCACGTGAAGCATTTAGCGTAGTGACTGGCTCATAGTAAACAATTCATAAATGTTAGCTGTAATTATTATTATTACCATAATAGACATTTTTCAAACTTTTTAGCTGTAGCATTTTTTTCTTTTCGAGTACAATTTTTAAGCAGACCCTGTGATATTATATATAAAAGGTAAAGCGGGGGCCGGCCCGGTGGCGCAGCAGTTAAGTGCGCTCATTCCGCTTCAGGTGCCCGGGGTTCTCCAGTTCAGATCCTGGGTGCGGACATGGCACTGCTTGGCAAGCCATGCTGTGGCAGCCATCCCACGTATAAAGTAGAGGAAGATGGGCACGGATGTTAGCCAGTCTTCCTCAGCAAAAAGAGGAGGATTGGCAGCAGTTACCTCAGGGTTAATCTTCCTCAAAAAAATGAATAAATTAATTAATTAAATAAAAGGTAAAGGGGAGTGGCTTGTCCACCCCTTCTTCTAGCTCTTCCCAGCTCTGACTCACAGTGGCCTCTGGTTTTGACCAGTAAATCCCAGACAGATTATCAGATCCTTCTGGGAGTGTTTTAAAGCCAGTTTCCCTGGCCCCACCCCTGAGCTTCTCGGTCAGGACATCTGGGGTGAGCCCAGGCAGCAGAGCTTGGAGAATTGTCCCAGGTTGTTCTAATGATCTCACAGCTTCAGGCTCCACTGAGGTCCTTTCTGGCCCTTAGGTGACATCAAGCCTTGAGTACAAGGCTCTCCTTCCCCACACCACTTGTCCCCACACCCTCACTGAGCTCCCGGCCTGTCCCCCCCCACCCCCTTCCCCCGGGCCTTCATCAGGGTTCCCTTCTGCGAGTTTTTCTCTTGGAGACTTGACCAAAAGGGGACAGAGGGGAAGAGCTCCTTTGCCCGCCGCCAGGCCCAGCCCTCAGTCACCATGTTCCTGCCCCTCCTTTCAGGCCTATCTCTTTTGCTAATAATGTCTCAATAGTTATTGAGGGCTTAGCAGGTGCCAGGCACTGTGCTAAGCTCCTTACATTTATCATCCGGTTAAATCCTCACAAAGCCCTGTGAGGCAGGAATTATCATCATCCCCACCTGACAGATGAGAAAACCAAAGCACAGAGAGGTTAGGTGACGTGATCAAAGTTACACAGCTAAAAACAGCCAAGAGGAAACTCTTCCTTAGGTCTGCCTGACCCCGTAATTCATGCTTTTAACCCCTCTGCTGACGTCCCCCTCTCGGTGCCCCACTCCTAACCTTACTCTGTTAATCTCCACTCCCCGCCTCCCACATCCCCAGCGACCTGCTGAAGCTTCTCCCAGGAACGTGGCTCTGGCCACAGCTCCAACGGCAGGCAGGAAGCATCACAGCAGGGCTGGCTCCCCGGGCACTTGAGAACGCCCTGGGGCCTGAGCTGGGGGGAGAGAGGCCAGGCGCACCCTTGGGAGATCATAGGGGCACTGGCACGTCCAACTGCTCCGCCAGTCCCTCCTAAGTGGACCGCCATCGGACCTTCCTCCGCCACATGGCAGTCATCCCAGCATCCGGCTAGCAGGTCAGTCCGCACTTACCAGCCTGGTCATCTGTCAGTCTTCCTTCTGACATCAGAGGCCACCAGATGGTCCTTACATGCTTCTTGGTTCCTCAGTTGGTCAGTCCCTCTCTACAGACCAAGGGCCTTGATTTGTGAGCCTCCGGGGTGGAGATCCCTGACTCAGGGTCAGTGGGAACAGATCTAGCCACTGTCCCCACAGACCTTATAATCGGACACCCACAGAGCCAGCATTCACCCAGCAGCCCCCCAGGTCATGGTGCCGAACAAATCCCTCTTCCTAGCCCCACCACCACCTCAGCTCCCCTGGGCCCAGTGCCCCCATGGTGAGGGACCTTTCCCTCTGTGACCTGTCTTGGTAATTTGGAAGGTGATTAACAGCAATCACGCTTGAGTTTGACATCCAGGCACGGCCGCTAAATTGAGGCTCACAAAGCCTCCTTGACATCCAATATGTTATATGCTTTTCCCCTTAATTAGGAGCTAAAGTGGATAAATATGAAGTCGCTATGGCAACAGCCTCCCGGGTTGGTGGAGGGATGCAGCTCAGTTTCTGTCGGCTGGCTGGCTGACATGTTGGCTGATGGACCAAATCGGCTTCTGGGGAGGGGTGGGATATGGCCCCTCCCACCTTCCCCGGAACCTGCCTCCAAGCCCCAGTTCTCGTTATCCTCTCCATCACTCCTCATCGGACTTCACAGAGCCTTGAGGTGCCCTGCCTGGACCACAGACCTCAGTTGGTCTAACCCCTCATGGAGCAGGTGGGGAAACTGAGGAGGAAGCTTGCTGCCTGAGGAGTGAGAGGCAGACAGATGTAACGCCCAGATCTCCTGCCTGACAGACGGGAGTCCATAGTGGTTCTTACGGATTTGGGGTCCTAGATCCCTTAGAGAAGCTGTGGAAAGCTATGGCTCCTCTCCTGGAGCACACCTTCAGGAGGGTCATGGCCCCCCGGAGCTTGTCTGTGCACCCACCCCACTGTCCCTCCAGAGTGTTCACCATCCACAGAAACGCTCACCAAGTGCTTTGGGGTGGTGAGTCTTCACCTTTCGTCTCCGCCTTCCCCCGTGACAGTCCTGTCTGAGACGCCCCTCAACCTTCTCCCCGCACCCCGCCCCCACAAGGTGCCTCAGGCCATCCCTCCACAGGATGGAGGTGTGTGGGTGGGATGGTGGGGGTGGTGAGCCCTTGGGACTGCAGCTGGTGGCTGAAGGGAACGACTTCCAGCTCTGCAGGTAGGGGGTGGGTGACACATTTGCTTTTTGCTTAGGAGTCAGAGGCTTGGAGCTTTGGGGGGACAGTAGAGGGGTGAACAAGGTCTGTCAGATCTGAGAGGAAATCTCTGCAGTGTGGGCCTGAGATCAGCCACACAGTGGGCTTTAGGC